TTGTGTGGTGGTTACCTAGAGATGAATGATTCCAGCCAAGCTAAAGAAACAGTAGAGTGGATTAGGATCATAGTAAAATGGCAAGGTTACCCTCCGACTACCATTAGAGTAAAGGACAGGGATTCACTGACAGAAGTAAGAGTCTGGCCAGAGATCCTACCTAAGCATGCTAAGAGTCAGACAACCTGGATCAGTACCAGTTGAACAAGAGTGGAATTACAGAGTCTTGGCGGGATCAGATATTTCTGCAGAAGAGGGGAGAAGATTAAAGGGGAAGGAGGTCTGCATGGAGGAGGAAGTAGGGTGGATGGCCACTGTCGGATAGGGGTGTCAATGGACCGGTTTTGGGTTGGGCTCCATACAAATCAAAATCAATTTAGACAGATTGGATGGACCAATAAGACACATTGAATTGGACGAGTCCAGACTTAATGGTCCAAAGGATTTATTGATTGGATTGGACCTGGTCCATCTGTAATGGATTTATATCGGATTGGGTTAGATTGAACCAATACCCGGTCCATTAGTAGAAGATAAGAACACGGGTGTCAATGGACCAGGTTTGGATTGGAACAAATCTAAATTAAAGCCAGTTACAAATTGGACTGTCCAAACACTGAATTGGACCAATCCAAAATGGTCTATTCATTGGATTGGATTGGACCTGGTCCATTTGTAATGGTCTCATATTGAATTGGACCAAAACCGGTCCAATTGACACCCCTACTGTCGGAGGAGGAGGTACAACAGATAAGTTCAAAGAGGCACATTTGAGAAACTCGACATGGCAGTACCTGGTAGAGGGAGACTGACAAAGATGGAGAAACTGTCTATGTCTTCTGTTGAACTGAGCCACATGGACAGCAGGATGAGCAGAAAGTCTTCTGGTGGTTTTCAAATTTCAAATGAAGACCGCCTTGAAGAAAGGGTGGCAGATTGATGTATAGAGATATTAGCTGGAATGGGGGTAGGCCAGGGAGTTAGGGACAATCCTACAGAGGGTAGAGAGTTGGACCGGAAGGTATCCATTACACCAACTAAACAGTTAGATCAAACAAGTGAAGAGGGACAAATCAAAGAAGGTTCAGGTGAGGGAAGTAGAAGGACTAAAGCAGTAATACTTTGGACTGTTTGGGAGGAAAGAAATGATAGAATATTTGAAGGAAAAGAAAAATGTAAGGAAGCTTTAGTCGAAACAATAACATTGAGGGTGGCACATTGGGTAAAAAGCTTGAAGTTGTTCTCAGCTTTTAAGGTCGAAGACTTTTTTAGGGTTTGGGGACTTATTGCTGCCTCTTCATCTACGAGACAACAGTTTTTTGAGGCATGGTATCCTCCAACAGATGGTTGGAAGAAGCTGAACTTCGATGGGAGTTGTGTGGGTAATCCAGACCCTTCAGGCATTGGGGGCCATTAGAGATGAAAATAGAAACATTATTGCTCTGTACTCCGGTCCTGTGGAGCAGGGTGATGTGGCAAGGGCAGAGTTTCTAGATGCAGCATATGGGGTTGAGAAGGCTAAAGAGTTGGGTATTAATAGACTGATCATCGAGGGAGACTCAAAAACTGTGATAAAATGATTGCAGAAAGGGGAAGGGGTGACATGGCAGTTGAAGAATGATGTCCGAAGACTTAAATGGATGTCAAGGAACATGTCAATCCAGGTGGGATGGGTTAGGAGATCTGCCAACAGTTTGGAAGATAGTTTAGCAAAGCAAGGGGCTCAAAGAACACATATGTTTTGGGCACATTTGTAATTCTGTCCCAGGTCAGCTTACTAAAGCTGATTTCTTTCACAACTTCTTGTTGTAGCCTAAAGTTTTCTAATTAGTGAAATCTTTTCAGAGTTATTGATAAAAAAAAAGGAAGTAACAGGAAATCAAGCCCTACCATTTTGGAGGTGGACCACACCACTTCAAATGGGTCTTCTGAACCATCTAAAGTGCTAGTTAGCCCAACTAGTGTTTTAAAAGCGAAAGGCACAAAAAAAAAAGTGCAAGGGCCAAGGTATGTGCCTTTTTTAAGTAAGGCACAAAAAAGCAAAAAAAAAGAAAAATCTAAAAAAAAATCAAAAAAGTGCCAAAAGAGACAAAAAAAATGCAAATTATTAAAATATTAAACACATTCTTAATTAAAAATATAAACTTAAATTTTAAAATGAATGCTTTCAAAAACTATTATCTCAAATTAAAATACATAAACATAACACGTAAAACATATTTAAAATAAAGATTTAAACATAAAATCAAGACAGGGTGTGAGATCGTAAGAGGTTCCTCCGAAGGTGTCTAGTTCTTCAGCTTTCTAGTGGCACCCCTTTCAACAAAGAGGTCGAAACCTAGTCTTTCTTGCATTGGAGGAATCTACAGAAGTCGACAGTGAGAATGTTGGAAGGGAATAAATGGCTCATCGCCTTTGCATTTGAGGAAGAAGCTAGTGGGGCCCTCTTTTCCAATGTGTCTTCGCTCAACGGCCTGCAAGTTTTGCTATCATGTTTGTCCCATCTAGGTTGTTTAGAGAGGCAAGTGAATGGCTTTGGAAGATGGTGGATTCTCGGTGTTCCTCTTTCAACCTAGTGCCCCGTGGTGTTCAAGGAGATTGGAAATGCAATAGGAAGCTTTATTGCAGCATATTTGAGCAATACGGCGTGGAGAAACCTCGAAGCCCTTCGTCTGCTGGTCTAGAGTAGGGTAGTGAAAGATATCCCTAAACCCTTAGAGCTAGTGGGGGCATTAGATATCTCCTGCTTATCACAGTAGATGACATTGAAACTCAGTTTGAACAAAGAAACACAAGGTTTCCTGTTCAGTGATCGGGTTCTCAATCTCTTTTTACTCCGTCATTACCCGCAAAGCTCAACAAGATATCGGTTTTCACTCCTGGGGGCGGTGGTGTTCTATCTTCAGGAGGTGGCCTTCCCATCCCTTCTGCCACTGTAAAACGCCAAAGAAAAAAAAGGAAAAAGTCGAGGCGAAAGGCATCATAGCCTCACAGGTGAAGGGAAGGGGAGCGGAATTGCAAAGAGTGACGGTGAAAGAGGGGGTTGGAAAGACTAGTGTTCATAGTCACAAGAGCTGGAGGGTGGGGAGCGTTTGGGTTTCCCGTCGCCGCCGAAAGAAAATGCCCTAGGTGTCACGTCGGTGGGTGCTATTTCTCCAGAGCCGCTGGTTGCAGCAGCCACCCCTGTTCCCAGCGAGTCGCAGGAGGCAGGAGTTTCAATTTTCAATCAGAAGTTAATTTTTTTCACAAACTGGGGTTTTTTTAGTTTCAACTTCAAATTTTTCCCCTGTGATAGTTCGCCCCGACCTCTTTGGGTAAAACCGGTTTCGTGTTGCACCCTGTCCAGAAGCTACAAAATGGGCTTAGGCACACCAAGTCCTATTAAGAAGTCGTGCTCTGTTGAAACTTCCAACGCCCTGGTCCCCTTATCTTCAATTTGGCAATGTTTTGATTCCCTCAAAGGTTCTCCGACTGGCAGTCCTCCACTCATATGTGGAAGCTCTGAGGCTCCTAGCATTGAGTCTTCTGGTATGCAGTCAGTAAGTCAGCAAGCCGAAGTGTCGATGAGCTAAGCCCAATTGGTGAAGAGGGGAGGGGTTTTCCTTGCAAGACGTTTGAGGAGGGTATTCAGGTTAGCAGCACAAGCCAGGCAGACAAGGCTTTAAGCTTTGGTAAGTCCCTTGGAGTTTCTTATCCAACGAACCAAGAATCGATTGGGATTGGTTTAATGCTAAGTTTACTAACAAGGCCAAGTCGGACAGTTCTCGGGATGTTCCTAGTACTTTGTCGGACTTTGAATCAAAAACTGACTTCTCTTGGTCGGACCATTCTTCTAATCCAGCGGGTTTCCCCTTTGGAAGCAAGAAATCCAAACTTCTAGCTGATTTTTATGATGTGAAATTGGTGGGCCCCCCTTCCCATGGGGTCCGAGGCTCTAGAGGGAGGGTTAGAAGAGGCAAAGGCTGGAATATTGTGAATAAGTAGGGGGTCTTTTGCAAATTTCCATTTTGGTGGTCGTGATTCTTAGCTGTGGTGAGTTGTGAGTTGGGTGGTTTGTTTTAGTTGTTCGAAAGGAGGTTTGGTGTGCTCTGTTTGTGGCTTTTCTTCAGCTTTTGTTTCCTTTTGTTGGCCGGTAGGGGAGTTTGTCAACTTTTAACTGTGTACTGCCTTTTCGTGTACTTCTTGTACACCTTTCATTAATAAATTTTTTACCTTACTCTTTTCAAGAAAAAAAGAATCACTAGCCAAATCTAGTGCAGAGATTGAATATAGGGCTATGGCACATAGTGTGGCAAAAATTTTGTGGCTCAAGAATTTTCTAATGGAATTGGGAATTGAAGTTCCTAGGCTGATGCCAGTGTATTATAACAGCAAGGCAGCAATTAATATAGCTCATAATCCCATAATGCATGACAGAAAAAAGCATATCAAAATAAACAAACACTTCATCCATGAGAATCTTGAAACTAGTGAAGTCTGCATTCCCTATGTGAACTCCATTGATCAATTGGGTGATATCTTCACCAAGGGTGTTATAAGTACTCAGCAATGTTAACATTTGTATCAAATTGGGAATGATAGACATATACAACCCAACTTGAGAAGAGTGTTGTTAGAGCTGTTAGAATGTTATTTATTCTATTAAGTTGTAACTAAGGGCACTATTGTAATTTTCTCTTTATTTCTTAACGCCCTAGTATATAAGTCAGTATGGGCATCGCCACTAACATCTTCTGCCAAAATATTCTTTCTCTTCTGCTACATTATTCTCCTCTCTTCTCCCTCCTACAAACTAGAATTCAGTTAATATTACATTGCCAAGTCAGCTTCTATCTTTGGGCACTTATTTTTCCTTCCCAAGATAATTGGAGTTAAACAGTGCTTCCTAGTTCCTTGTCCAAAAAGAAATATGGCACCACTTGACCAGGCAGTTAATCAATTCCATTAGTCAATATTAAATACCTAACCAATTTTCTTAACAAATAATATCTCAGGCATACCTTGGGTTTTTCTTCTCCTTTTTGTGATTTTAAGAATTCATCCTTCGAGATGCGTACTCCTGCAGTGAAAAAATTCAAATGGTAGCTTGCATATGGTTAGCATAAAACCTGAGATACATAGATTTTGACACTTTGCATGAACTGGCAATGAACTGTTATGAGAAGTTAAGAGAGTATATAGAAGAAATTTTCTCTGACCTTTTACTTTATCACGATACACGGGTTCTGCACCTTTTCCACTGATGGAAGGATCAATCTCTTTGAACCTACATATATTTATTTAAACAATCACTTCTCCAAATAAAATAAAAAAAAGAGCAACAGATGGAATGTTTGTCGTCCATGCATCAGTCATCTTAAGAACAACCAATTCAACTTTACTAGAGAAAGGGGGGCAAAATAATAACTTCACTTAAACAGGAACAACTCTCTTTCCTAATTTTGGAGAGCACCAAATACCTAATACATGAACAAGGAGTATAGTTGCTCATTCAAGTAGTTAAATTGTCTGACTACTGTTGCTCTCCATTCTTCATGAATATTTGAGCTTATGGTGATAGAAGTAATCCTGTTTGGCCAAACTAGTTCATGAAAATATAGATAGTCTATTAGACAAGTCCTGTTCTGTTAGTAGCTATGAACACCCCGTCCTGCTGGGCAAGGAGATTCCCTTGGTTTTACCTTTTTTTATTTATTAAACAAAATTTAAAACCTACTTCAACATTCGAAACAACAAGAAGTTTGTTCAACAAAGATAACCCCCCCCCCCCCAACATAGACACATGGATTATGGCAACATGAAAAAAAAAACAAAAGATGAGAAGAATAGAAATAAACAGAATGAGAGCAGAGAGAGCATAAACAGCAGCGCTCATCCGTTGCTTGTTTTCATCGCTGCCTAGTTTGTTAGCGGGAGATTTACCTCGCCAAGTCCTCCTGCACTTTGGCAACCTCTTCTTTAAATGCTTCGCGACTAACCAAACCAGACCTCCGCCCTGCTTTCACAGGGGATAAATCTTTCCGGCTTTTCCTTGAGGGTGAAAGGTCTACAGAAGCATCAGCTTCAATTGTTTGGGAATAAACTCCTTGAGAGAGGTCAGGTAATTCAGCCCTCTCAGAACCCTTCTTGCTTCTCCTTGGAGGAGAAAGATTTCCCACCAATGAAACTCGGGGTGCACCCTTATCTGGTGAACCAAGATGAGTACGCAGAGGGGGAGATAAATCAGATGAACCAATCCTCTCCAAATTCTTCCTCCCAGTATCCTTCCTGTTTCTCCTTGGGGGAGAAAGATAGGGCGAATCAGTCCTCTCCGAATTCTTCCTTTGAAATTCCGTCAGTGTTTGAGAACGGGAGCGCCGAGGTGGGGACAAGTCATGGTCTGGGTTTACGGAGTTCGATGCCTTTGGTTCATTCTCAGGTGATGGTGTTTGATAACGCTGCTGTCGCCGCCGTGGTGGGGACAAATCAGAAGCTTCATTGCCATGATATGTACGCTTCCTTTCAGGTTCCGGGGAAGGGGTATCATACCGAGCCCGTCGCTGCTGTTTCAGCGGCGACAAATCAGGAGCTTCATTACCAGAACGTGTATGCTTCCGTTCAGGTCCCGGGGAAGGGATATCATACCGAGCCCGTCGCTGCCGTGGCGGTGACAAATCAGGAGCTTCATTACCGGAACGTGTACGCTTCCGTTCAGGTTCCGGGGAAGGGGTATCATACCGAGCTCGTCGCCGCCGTGGTGGTGACAAATCAGGAGCTTCACTACCAGAACCTGTGTGCTTGAGTTTAGGTTCAGGCGAAGGTGTGTCATACCGAACCCGCCGCTGTCGTGGTGGTGACAAATCAGGAGCTTCATGACCAGAACTTGTGCCGTTCAATTCAGGTGAAGGTGAAGGTGTATCACACCGTGCCCTTCGTTGGCGAGGAGGGGAAATATCAGAATCTTGCTGAGTGGGTTTTGCTTGTTTAGGTGCATCAGAAATCGATACCCAGCCACTTCCATCCTCAGAAATGGCATGGTAGGGACGCTGAGATCGAATTTGCTCGAGTCTCTTCAGGCGCTTGACTTCAATGTCTTCATCAATTTGGGGTTTTTCTTCATCTGTAAAAGATGCTAATAAGAAATTGGTAATTCAATTCTTCAACAAATATTCTGCTTTCTCCTTTTGAGGGTTTTGATTTCTTTACCTGCAGAATCATCCTCACTTTTCTCATCATCAAGTTGTACTGGTTTTTGCCAGACCGGATCTTCATCCACAACAAGAACACCCACTGCATTCGTTTTTGCTTTCACCTTTTTCTTCTTCTTCTTCTTTTTCTTCTCGTCTTCATTATCATTTGTGTACCTCTTCAGGTATTCTTTGAGAGATGCTGATGCTGAAGCAGAAGCTGCCATGGTGGCCTCTTGTTCAAGACCTTCCTAGTTTATGGACCTGGAAAGGAAACAGTAAGTAGTTTGACGAAAGAAAATACAAGAGTTAGACTAGTAAGAACAATTTCGGAAAATAAACCTGAACCCTCTTCTGTTGTGGCCTTTCAGACCCAAATTAAACTAGTAAAATAGATGTAAATCCTCTATCTGATGATTCAATTATGTCATTGCCATCCAAGTTTGAGCTCCCATAAATCGGGAATAGACTACAGTACAATTTGTACCAGACTGAAACACAAGCTTGTAAAATTTTTCTAATTTCTCATGGAAGACAAGGAACAACCTTCAACAATTATTGCGAATTACAAACCAGAAGGAAATTATCTTAATTCTAAAACAATTTGCTAACTTATCCTTCCTCAATGGTAGATGGATCAATGGCTAAGAGAGTAGGGTTACAGAACCCTTTTTCAGTTTATCATAATTAAACGACCAAACTTGAGAAGGGATGTGAAACCTTCGCGTGAAAAAAAGAAAAACACAGAACAGTAGGAGGGAATCGAAACTCACCGGAGATCAGTTGATTCACTTCTTGTTTGGGCAATTGAGCGGAAATGATTCCGGAATTGAGCAAGGACCAGACGTCTCTTTTAGCGAAAAAGGAAATGTTTAAAAAAGTGAAAATTCCTGATTAGTAGTCTTCCTTTGTGTCTAATGCCACTATAGTCCCCGAATTTTAAAATGCAACAATTCAATAATTGAACTTTAAAAATGTACCATTAATCATTAACCAGCAGTTAATATGTTGTTAAGCGATATTTGAAAAGGAAAATTGACGGTCCCAAATCCTTGTTTTTTTTCATTTAAGAAAGTTGAAGTTACATTTGAGTGGATATTCTAGTGACCTTAACTTTCTTAAATAGAAGAGGTAAGGATTTGGGATTATAATTTTTTTTGTCAATGTTTAGATAATTGATAAGGAAAATTAGATAATACTCAAAGGGCATTTGTGTCTTTTTAAAATGTCCTTAATGGCCGATTAATAGTTAGTTAACGGTAGATACTAGATTGTCACGCTTTGAAAGTTTGAGTACTGAATTGTTGCATTTTAAAGTTTGGGGACCAACATGACACTAGACCCAAAGTACAAGGTATTAATCGAGAGTTTTCCCCAAAAATGAGACAAACCCAGTCGTCGCAAGTCTTCCAAAAGAGTTATTTCGGTTCATTCCCCTGCTATTTTGTTCGTAAAAACGAAACATTAAGGCTCCAACCAATCAGCCTGAGTTCAGAGCACTCCTTACACCGACATGAAAGCATGTATCGCCACAAATGTTTTCAAGCCAGTTGGTCGAACCATTTGAACCGTCACCCGGCCAGGATTCCAAACCTAGTTCAGTCAATACCCGTTAGACCGTCAAAAACCATTGAACTTGGCTAGTTCAACCCAGTGATTGGGTCACGGGTTGCACACCCAATGCATACAAAACTTTCGGAGGTAGTAACTTTGCTCTCCGGTGTCTGATTAAGGTATTTTTTATTTTGGGCAACTTTTCGAGATCATGTGCCCTAGGAAGTCGTAGGTGCCTTGCCCCGCTATTTTTGCGAAAAAGAAAGAAAAAAACTTTTTTGGTCTCAAATTGCAATTGTTAATATTTTTATAAATAAAAAAAATTAAAAACTAAATTAAAAAACACATATAAAATATAAAATAATACACATAACATATCTAAGACATATTTATACATTATTTATTGCTAAAAATATATATTTATACATATATATATATATAGACGCACACACATATATATACTTAGTACATATTTATGCTGACATGGCATGATCTGAACTGTTCGACCCGGCTAATTGAACCAATGACCCACGACCCAAAGGCAAAAACAAGTTGGCCTCCGAATCGGTTTTTAAAACTTTAACCGTTGCATAACAAGAACATCTCCCCGTACTACTATGTTATAATTCATGGGAGATATTCCCAATACACAATGGAATCTACTCCTTACACCAACCTCACATCTACATCCCACCGTATGTTGTGAATATCTCTCATGAATAATAACATGCAAGGACGGAAGATGATTTTGAGCGGCTGAAACATGATGTGAGGTTAGTGTGAGGAGCATATCTGAACTCATCCGATAGATTCGAGTTGATCAAAATGATTATACGATTCCAATTACATAATTTTGTCCGAACTCCTGAAGATGATTTTGAGCGGCTGAAACATGATGTGAGGTTAGTGTGAAGAGCATATCTGAACTCATCCGATAGATTCGAGCTGATCAAAATGATTATACGATTCCAATTACATAATTTTGTCCGAACTCCTGATTAATAATTGGAGACCGGATCTGCTCCTCACACCTAACGCCTCACATACACATCCTACCATGCATTGGAAACATCTTCGAACTTATTATTCACAATGCATGCATGTGAGGCGCCCATTTATGAGGAGCAGATCCCGTCTCTAATAACTGGGTCGAGTGTGGTAACGTCGTTCTTGCGACTTGTGAGTTTGGATTTGGTCCTCACATTGGTCACACCATCTTCACGGCCATCTATCAAAATAACACCCCTCAATCCTTAATCTACTGTAACTGTGCACTTGAAATATCTCTTCATAGGCTGTGAGGACGGTGTGAGCATAGTTCTGAGGACTAAATCTGATATCGGTTCTTACTTGTTTCAAATGAATTGAGACCCAAACCAATGAATTTGTTAATAAATTAAAAAGATTTCCTAGTTTTTTGTGATTTTTATTATATTTTAAGTAAAAAAATGTCAATTTCGACCTTAAAGAATGAAAAAGACCATTTTCGACCCCAACCCATAAAAAAAGGTCATATGTAGGCAAATATAGACATCATTTGAAACTACACCAATGATCCATTAGATAACGTTATGAGGCACTACTAAAGTTTGAAAAAGTTCACTTTAGATTCTAAAGGTTGAAAATGGGCCACTTTAATAAAGTTAATAAATTACTTCATGTTCTAAGTAAATGACCCTAAACTATAATTAAGTATTTAATTTATTTAGGCCCCATTTGGTTCATGGGAATAGGGGTTTGGAATTGGAATTGGAATGGGCTATTCTGATTCCAATTATTTGGTTGGATGGAATCTAAACCCCATGCCCATTATTGTTGGAATGGTATTCTCGCATCTGAAGGAATGACCATTCCCTGCCCCTCTCTAGGGAATCAAATCCCATTCCTGTTGATTTCAATTCCCATTCCCATTCCTGTCTGAACCAAACAGACTATGGGAATGGGTCATTCCAATTCCGATTCCGGTGAATTTCAATTCCGGTTCTAATTTCGATTCTAACTAAGAACCAAACAGGTCCTTAATTAATTAATTAAATTATACTAATTAAGTATTTAAATAAATTAATTAGGGAAATGGACTTAATTAATTAAATTAAATAAACAAAGGCAATCGATCTAAATAAGTAAATTAAGCCAATTAAGCAGAGTTTTAAAAATCAACCCAAATGAAACTACTTTAGCCACCGATTTCTAGGTCAATGACTTGATAATCTGGTCCGAATGGATCAACCTATGATGTTTTGAAAAATAAAAATAAAATAAAAGTAAAATATAAAACAACTAAAAACCATTTATTGGATAGAACAGTTTAGGGGGTCAACCATTTGAGTCGCTTGTTTATTAACCAAGTTAAAAATTCTGGGCAATCAAACCATTCGACACAAGAATCATTCAATTGTCCAGTATGATTTACCCGATCGGTTGAACCATTCAACCTAGGAACCGGTCAATTGTCCAGCTCCATTTTATACTTAGCCCGGAAATAAAAAAAAAAAAAACGCTAACTTCGTCAATAAACTACTGTCCCAAACATTTAAACCAGTAGATTGTTTAATCCAGTAAATGTGTTTGGTTCATCTTTTATTTTAATTATATATTGCTTTTTTGTTCTTCAAAGTTTCATGGTTGATCCACTCTGACGGGACAATCTAATTGGTGACCAAAAACCAGCTGCCAAAGTGGTTCTGTTTTGGGTCGATTTTAAATCCTTGTTTAATTGATTTAATTTATTTATGGAAAAATTCTCGATAGTATCATGCTGAGTGTCAATTTAGTATTTATACTTTAAACCGTGATAATTTAATATTTAAACTTTCAATTTGAGACAACCCATCGACCCACTTCCTGTTACCTTTTACATGTTTCCCCAAAACAGACGTATTAACAGAAAATTTTCCGTTCCCAGCGGAACAGACGATGCGAGCTCTCCCCCTTCCATTGAAGTTGGACAATCTCTGCAACCGTTGTAGGATTTGGTGGGGCATCAAACAAATCAACAACGAGGGTTAAGTTCTCGGTTTTTCCTTCGGGATCTTGAAAAGTTTTAAAAGTACACTGCAGTCTGTCAACGGTTATCTCCGTCTCTTCACTGTCTACACTCTTCTCAGAGTTCAGACTTGCCTACCCTTGCCGAATAAGCAAGGATGGAGCATCTACGGAGAAGTCCGACGACAGAAGAGATGGCCACCGGCAACAAGAAGTGGAGGTGTCACCGTCGTTGTCGTGTTTGTTCACTCTGCCGCTTAGGGAATCGGTTTCGACCTTCAGTCTGGAGAATGCTGTCTGCAGCCATGGGCTGTTCATGATGGCACCGAACCAGTGGGACCCATCGACTAAGACCTTCCAACGCCCCTTGCGACTCTCTGATGAAACCACTTCCATCCTCGTCCGCATCTCCCATCCCCCAATTCCCCTTCTCTCCATGTCCGCGTTCTCGACACCGCTTCCCTCTCTCCCGACGATCAACGAGTTCTGCTGGTACTCAACCATCTACCTACTTTCAGTGTTTGCTCTTCTTTCTCTTCATTCAGTTTATTAGCATGTAATTGTTAATTTTAGGCTCAGGTAACCCGAATGCTGCGATTATCGGACAGTGAAAGGAATATAAGGGAGTTTCACAAGATCCACCATGAAGCCAAGGAAAGGGGTTTTGGCCGAGATTTTCACTCCCCGACATAATGACCTGTGTAGCAGCTGGATGATATCGGGGGGTGTTGAAACGATGCATGAAACGTCAAAAAGCGACCTGTGCGTTTTGTTCGTTCAACCCAGAACGAAGAAGACAGGTTTCGTTCGTTCAACTGACGGAATGAATGGTTTTTTTGGTATTTTGAAAATTTTACCCCGCATGTGAGTTTCTGATGGAAATCTAACGTCCCCTATTAAATTGTCGCAAATTGAAAATTTAATATCAAATTGTCTCAAATTAAAAGTTCAAGTACTAAATTATCACGATTTAAAGTATGGGTACTCGCTTAAAGTACAGAATACCTATTGAGAATTTTCCCTTTACTTATTTAGATCGAATAGCTTTGTTTATTTAATTTGATTAATTAACTCCATCTCCTTAATTAATTTATGTTAATTAGTTAGTTGCTTAATTTACTTAATTATCTTAATTAGTGTAGTTTATTTAATTAACTTAATTAGATACTTTAGGGTCATGTAATTAGA